AAATCCTGGAGGTGTTAACACACACTTTGACTGAAACATTTCTTCACTTTTCCTTTCGCTTATTTAAATGGAGAAATCTAACAAATTTCCAGTGCTGCTTGTGTATAAAGAAAATTGGTATAAGTGGGTAGCAGATTTTCTTCTCTTCCACTTAGTAGGGCCCATTTTCAGTACATAAAAATCTAACTGGAAAATGAAGGTCATCATCATTTATAGCTCAAAAGCTCACAAGGCACAGAAATCCTTGTTGCCTTCAGAGTAAGCATAGCCCAATTCAAAGCTAGTCAGTATCCTGAACTGAAGGTGCACTACACATATTTGTCAACAGAGGCAGTGTTTGCAGCCTCTGCTTCAAACAGAGGGGGACTAGTGTCTTCATATGGACAGAAGCCAGAATTTTTTATCAGTGAACACCTCAGAGTCATCATCTAATACTATGATTTAAGGTGACAACTAGCAAGAATAATGATGACATTATTTTCTGCTTGTGGGGCCAATTATTGCCTCTAATTCATGGTTTGCTAGTTACAGGTGAGGCAGTTTTTCCATTACAAGTTTCTTCTATGTGTCTGTATCAATCAGAGCAGATATTTATCGCAGTAGCTGTCAAACCAGTTATGTGAGGATTTTATGATTAATGAAATTAACTTTATTGCTGTGTCTGAGGCATTTCAGGTGTCACAGTCACTGTTTTCTGGAAGGAAGAGTGGGATAGTTAAGGCTTTGGATAGAAAATTGTTCTGATGCTCAGCTACACACAGGTGGTTTCTTGCCACATGACCAGAATTTTGATAAAGCAGCAAAATGCAGTGTCTTCTTTGATTTGCACCCCTGCCCACACACCTCTATATGAACAAGACTGACTGAAATGCATAAGGAAACTGCTGCAATTTTTGCGTTACACTGAAAGGAAGGCTATAGAATTGGAGAATCTGCTAGCTTTTGTTGTCTCCAACTATTTTCTAATTGTTTTTGAACAATGTCATTTTTGCACTTTTCCTACTTGTTTGCACCACTTTCTTTCTTTCTTCTTCTTCTTTTTTTTTTTTTTTTTTTTTTTAACTGCTTGAAGGACTCTGTTCCTTTGTATCTACACACTGCAGATAATGGAGTAAAGCAAGAATTCCTAGAGCAGATGAAGATGCTGTAGGCTGGAAAAGAGCTGACTGATAGAGGAACGTGGAGAAAATAGGGAAGTCGTTTCTCATAGCAAAATAAATAAGGTACTCAAAATGGCACATAAGGTAGTGCGTTCAAAACAAGGGAAAAGACAGGGCTGTTAACATGATACATAGATAATATGAACTATAGATCCCTAGCTCCAAAGTGCTGAGGGGCTGACTTTGCATGGATTAAAAAAGAGACAGGACAAACTCAAGGAAGAAAGTCAGTTGGAATTTCATCAGTATGGATAAAGTTGCATGTGCTTTTGCCTTTTGAAGTTTCCAGCCACAAAAGTTAGTGTCTGTGACAGAATCCTTCGGTACTATCATTGCAGGACTGTTCTGACCTTAAATGCATTCTTATCTATGTGGTTTTGGTGTTGCTGAGCTATGAGACTAAATAGGCCTTTGGTCTTATCCAGTATGACTATTATTTTGTTCTTTATATGACAGTCTTTGAACTGTTTTCTTCAAGAAAGGGATATGATCACAGGGGAGGAAAACTATATTTCCTTTAAACGTATAGAAACTGTTGCTTTTATTATCAGTCTGTCAGCATTCAGAGCATGTCTGAATATCTTCTGATATCAAAATTACAGAGTACCTAAATGAAAATCTGACAATTAAAACTGCTGGAAAACTTGTCATTTCTGCATAACTGTATACAAGTGCAAGAGCAGGAGAACTCAATTGCATGGATCCAGAACCGTCTTGAATAGAAGTGCAATTTTTGGACAAGTATGTTCTTTTTTCCATTTCATAGTGGAGAGAAATCACTAAATCTGTTGGTGAATCTCAGCTTCTCCTGCACTGCTGAGCTTCTCTAAAGGTTGGCTAAGGAAAGCCCTATGGACAATGTAAGTTGCCAGTGCCTACATATGACTGTTTACATGGGTGAACAGTGACAGGACAAGGGGGAATGGTCTTAAGACAGGGGAGATTTAGGTTAGATATTAGGAGGAAGTTTTTCTCATGGAGGATGGTGACACACTGAAACAGGTTGCCCAAGGAGGCTGTGGATGCTGCATCCCTGAGGCATTCAAGGCCAGGCTGGATGTGGCTCTGGGCAGCCTGCTCTGGTGGTTGGCGACCCTGCACATAGCAGGGGGGTTGAAACTAGATGAGCATTGTGGTCCTTTTCAACCCAGGCCATTCTGTGATTCTGTATATAGAATCATATTGTTCTGGCAGAAGCTTCTATTGTGCTAGAGATTTTTATGTCAGCAGAAATTTCAGTTAGTCAAGTATTACACCAGTGATGTGACTGAAGGTGGTGACCCCAAGGTGTCTGCTGGTAGGGTTTGGTGCATGAAAGGTTGTTACTCTTCACTGGCTCTGAAGAGTCTAGATCATGTGCATTAGATAAAATGGCTACACAGTGAGGCCTGGGAAATAATAATCTCCCCAGAAACTGCAGAGCCCAGGAGGCTTATACTCTTGTGATAAAACATAATACTATAGGCCTTATAAAGAACCAGCAACGAAGAGTGAAGGAAAATCTGCAAATGCATTAAGTATTCTCTACATCATTCCAGAAATGAGTGCTTTTTGCCATTTCTAATGTTTTCTGACTGTTCTAAACACCTCTTCAATTAAGGAACTGACTGTAACCCTATACTGATAAATAGACTGGCAGTTGTCATCCCTGAGGAGTAAAGGATTGCTCTGGGATTCTGTGACAGTTTAAACTTTTTTGAAAATCTGTACTATGCTGATACTCTGTGAGAAGTTAAGCTGAGATTTAGAGGGAAGAGGTAAATGGCAGACACTAGTGTGTATTATAAATTCACCTGCATCCCAAAGGGAAAGCTGGGAGAGAAGATAAGGGAAATCTAGGAGAGAGAATATACTTGTTTCAAAGGATTTTTTCTAAATGCAGAGACTCTCTTGTCAGTACTCAACGTTGGAGGCTCAGTCAATTAATCTATCCCTATCCAAGTAAGTGCTTCACGAGCTCTTCCCTGGGAACACACAGGTTCCACTGCCAGAAACATCTGTTCAGATGCTCTGCTGAATAAGGAAACACATATAACCATGTATTCAAATTCTTGTCCAAGTCTTTGGGAAAATCAGCTTGCAAATTCAGGTTAGCATGACACAGAAAAGGGTCACAGTGTGCAATTAGCCAAAGGACAAATAAAGATTTTCAGTACAGTTTATTTCCCTAAGGCAAACACATACTAACCTCCTTATCCTGGAGGTCTGTGACAGAGTAATTTTCTACTTAGATACATATATTTTCAGGAGGGCTATGAATGCATTTTCCAAATTATGCTAACTCTTGACAATATCTTTTGCTAAACTTTCTTTTATTACAGCTCTTCCTTGCTGCTGCAGTTTCTGCCTTTTTGCTATGCTTCAGCTTATGTCTTTAAAGTCCTCATAAAACTGGCATCCAGCTGCCAGCTACATGCTTAAGCCACAAACAAGGATCACAGCCTAGAGAATGCAAAGCTTTTATTTGTTCAGTTATTCAGCTCAGTCCTGTAAAGTTGTCTAACTGTTAGAGACCCAACTTTTATTTTGCTTTGTTATGTTGTTATGTTTATTAGAGGGATGAGAAAGGGATGGAAAAGGGAAGTAGTTTTCTGAAGAACTTAGAAACCTTGGGGACACAGTGTGACGTTCAAGGTTTTGTATCAACAAGCTGTATTCTTTTCTAGGTCACCGCAGAAAATGTGTGGTTTTCCTCTTACCTTGAGCTTTTGTATGTCCCCATTGATTCTCAAAGGGAACATCCCACATCTCCCCAGTCTGACAATCCAGTTTTCGCTCCTCCCCCTGAACTGGTGTGAAAGCTCATGCAACAGTCTACCACGTCTGAGAACTGATCAGCTGAAAAAATACTTTAAAACTGTCAGACTTAAGATGCTGTGAAATTTTATGCATTTTTCAGCTAGCACAAGGACAGTGTAACTGACTTGCCAGGGAATACAGAAGGAGATAGATATTTCCATGGGCCTAAAATGATTGTGTAACAAACAACTTTTTGAGCAGGGGATATTGAGAAGAAGCAGACCAAATTTTATTATCAGACTTGTTAAGTTTAACAAGTTTATCAGACTTGTTAAGTCTGATTTGTAATAGTTACAAAATAAAGGATTTACCAGCCATTTTCAACTTGCTTTTGCATGCATCCCCAGACAAGCTGTTTTTTTGCCAAGGATCAAGAAAAATCTTTCAGATGTGTTTGATTTTCTCAAAACTGGAGTATCCTAGAGAAAAAGTGGAATTCCCTGGAACATCTAGTAACTCTAAAGCATGCATGTCCAACCTTTTGGCCTGACTAGGCCTCACTGACTGAAGAGGATTTGTCTTGGGCCACCACTTGGAGTAATTCTGGGGAAGAGTAAGCCTATAAGCTGAGTGGAAACAGCAGGCACTGTAGCAGTCCATGTATGTTTGCAAAATGTCAGGGAAACATGAATAATATAAATCAGTGGGGAATAAAACTTAGCAAAAGGTGCATGCTAGTGTAGCCTAACTAATGTTCCCAGGCCAGTTCTGATTTCACAATGTTCAGTATTCCAGACTTGAAAGCCAAGGTCATGGTAAAGAACATATGAAATAGGGTCCCAAGGGCTCAGGAAGAATGCAAGCAAGGCTGGAGTAAGGCCAAGCGATCTCCTGAGGATTCTAAAGGACTGAATATCTACACTTGTGGTGGGAGTATTGTATCTGGATAGCTGTTGGCATCAAAGCTTGTTTAGAGAGAGTGAAATGTTGTCTGTTTGGGCAGATCATCAGCTGGGCTACCTCAGATGTATTTCCTTGCTCTTTTATTGGTATGTGCAAGATTTTTTGGGGGGTATTAAGAACCCCATACTTCATCTCAGCTGTAAATCCTCTATCTTTTGTAGAGACTGCATGTACTGGTTGCACTCACAGATTTTATATCTGCCACAGCAGAGAGTCCTTATGTCTTCATCCTGCATTTGCAGGAGGACTCTTCTGTCTCAGACATTACATTTTCCTAGTGCTTGTGGGTAAATGGTTCATCTGGTGAATCAAAAACACTCTGCCTTACTTCATCTTAATCACAACAGATCTGTAGCTGTCATGAGATCCTGCTCCATTAATGGGGACATCTAATAGTTTGTTGTTTTTTTCAAGCTTTTTGGTTGCAACTACAATGTTCAGACCTTCATGTTCTTGCAAAGAATTGTCACAGCTGCCCTAGAGATTTATTGTCTTACACTTTTTATTCTTGGGGTAAAGCATTCATGCACTCAATACTGAAACTGAGCCAAACTGTTCTAGTTCCTTTAGGTATTCCCATGGGTCTTGATTGTTTTCTTGGCGTACACATGCTGCAGAGACTAAGAAGTTTGCATCGTGTCCTTACTTCATAATTTGAGGGCTCAGCTAGAACCTAAGGACTGTTGCATTCGTCAATCCATTTCCATGGCTCTAGACAGCTCCTGGCATAGAGGGAAGAGAATAAGATGAGAACAGATCAGGGCATGGAGACTCATAGATCAGGAAAAAGATGATTAAGAGATCTTGTAAACTTTGACACTGCAATGATTTTTTATTTTCTGGAAAATTAAATTACACTCTATTCTCCTCTAAGCTTAAAATCTCTTGTGGTGTACAGCACAGAGATATTTCCTTTAGCTCTCTTAACAGACTGATGGGTTTTAAAAACTGATGAACAGATAGAATACTTTTTGTTGTTGTTGTCAACAAATAGATTATTGTCCTGCAAAATTAAGTGCAGTGCCCAGCATTGTCCACAGGGAGGGGTACAAATCCTTGCTCCTAGCATGAGCAGGGATTTTTGCAGAAACGAGTAAGGTCCACATTAGAACATAGGAAAAAAATCTGATTCTGTTTCACCAAACAAAGTGTCCTGACCAAGATTGCAGCCTGCGTTTACATTTTGCTTAAAAGCAATTGTAAAATGAATCTGAACGTGAAGAAAGAGGAAGGCAAGTCCAACAAAGAGAACTGAATATAAAATCACAGTCACTCAATGTGTTCCGGTACTTGCTGTCCTAAGAGGTGATCTCTTGGTAGAGATGTATTTCCTCAGCGCACCCAGATGCCTATACAATGTTTCTCCATCATTCTCCATGGCAGACAAACATAATGTTGACACACTAAGTTGCAATTTCCTGGGTTCTCCGATGCCAAAGACTGGAGCCAAGTGAGCATGAGACCATGCTGAAAACAGTATGGCTAGACTTCTGCCTCAGGTACCTCTGTACTGTGCTCAATCCCGGGCTAGAAATCCCTAGCATTAGCTTAGTTCTTCTGAAAGGGATTAGAAAAAGAATGCAAAGGAATGTTATCCCTACAACCATGTCGCTGTAAACAACCAGTCCACTTCAACTGTACTGAACCTGCATGTTCATTTTCAAACACGATCTCGAGTCTCTTTACAGCAGATCTTTGTAAAGGCTGGTGTGATAATCTCCTGGTCAATTTTTGATTGTCCAAAACTTATTCATCTTTTTAGATGTTTTAAGTCCAGACCTCATAGTACCACAAAATCACAGAATCACAGAATTGACTGAAGTTGGAAGGAACCTCTGGTGGTGATATGGTCTAACACTCCTGTTCAAGCAGAGAGCAGTTTGCCCAAGCCTGTATTCAGGCAGCTTTTGAAGATCTCCGAGGAGAAGACTTCACAATTTCTCTGAGTAACCCATGCCAATGCTCTGTCACCCTCACAGTACAGGAGTGCTCCCTCATGTTCAGAGGGAGCCTTCTGTGCTCAGGTTTTTGAACATCACTGGGCATCACTGAAGAGTGCTTAACTCTGCCTTCTTTGCATCTGTCTTTCAGATATTCATACATCTCAGTAAGAACCTCGCTAAGCCTCCTCTTCTCCAGGTTGAGCAGTCCCATCTCTCTTAGCCTTTCCTCAAGAAGAGGTGATTGGTAATCATATGTTGGACTCTTTCCAGTATGTTTAGGTCTCTCTTGTACTGGAGGGCCCATAACTGGGCCCATCACTCCAGATGTGGCCTTATCAGCACCTGAGCAGACGGGAAGGATCACTTCTCTTAATCTGTTGTTGATACTTTGCCTAATGTAGCCAAGATACTGTCAGCCTCTTAGCAGCAAGAGCACATGGCTTACTCGTGTTCAACTTGGTGTCCACTAGGACACCCATATCTTTCTGGACAAAGATGATTTCTGCCTGCATGGCCCTCAGCAGTCCTGGTATCTGCTGTTTTTCCTTCCCAGGTGTGGGACTGGGAATGTAGGAATGTAATGATGTTCTTGTCTTATCTCTCTAGACTATGAAGATCCCACTGCACAGCAGCACAACTTTCTTGTGAGTCAGCTGTTCCCGACAGTGCATTCTGATAAGAAATGACTTTCCTATCTATACCTTATCCTGTTTGCCACAGAAGTCAGTGAGACACTTCACCTTTGCAGGATATTTATGTGCTCCTCCTGCTGTCCTATATATGTATAGGTCCTCAACTTCTGCTCTGTGTAAGTCTCCTTTAGGTTTTGTTCAGGCTTTCATTGGTGAAGGCTGCTTTGTTTAAATGCACGTGCTTAGCATATGAAAGGCTGCCTTCTGTCTCAGGTCCAAGTATGAATAAAACAGTTTACAACTTCATGCATGGAAGGTGGCTTTGGCAGGTTTTGGGTGAGGCTTTTAATTTATGCTCAGAGTAGCTAAGCTAAACAAGGTGCTTCTCCAAGTGAAGGTTTGGTCTTACCCTGTGAGTTCAGCCGGAGACAAGTAGGAGCGCATAGGAATGCTCAGTCTCACCTATGCGGCTGCAGTTATACTTGCCTGAAACCAAACAAAGACATCACAAATTAATTCTGGTCAAGGAAGTGCAGGAGAGGCTCATCTGCACCTAGGGAGTCATGTTTGTGGTTTTTCTCTCTTCACTACTTATTACCACAGGAGCTGTATTTTTTTTTACCTTTTGGCTCAAGAAAAAAGATGATTTATCATGTGTAATGCATGACCTGTGCAGAAGGGATTCTGGTTTCTTTACTTGTTGGATGTGACACGTTTGTGGGGATTACTATTACAGTCATAAGAATGCATTGCAGTCCCTTTGGTTTTACGAGTCAGTGGAAACAAATGAACAAACAGATCTATTTTCCTGATGCTGTGTGTTTCTCTTCAAATCCCTGGATACTATTCTGCTGCAAACATAAAATAGCAGCTTTGCAACTAGTGTACTTACTCTAAAAAATGAAGACTCTTTCTAAGAGATGATTTCATCCTTTTTCTCAGACTTGCTGTTGACTGCCTTTAAAAGTTAAAATGTGTGACGCTTTGGTTTTCTGACACTTTTTGACACTAGATAAGAAGATCAATGCTCTTCAGTAGAAAACTAAATAGGTTTCTGTTTCGAATTTGAAGTAAGATTGTAAAAGGAGACTGCTGGCTGTACTCTAATAATTGAAAACCATGGCCTTAGTTATTTTCAGGTGACAAATCACTGTTCTCAGAGATGTTCGATGGATACTTGCTCTGCACTGCCATCCTTTCATTTTGCCTCAGATAACTATCTCAGAGATGACTAGATGTCTAATTATTATATGTTTGAAGTTAGGTAGGCTAGAAGAGTTGAATCAAATCATATTCTGTTACACTAAGATTTGTTTCTATCAGAGGCGAGGCAAACTGGAGGAGTCCTTTCTGCAAGCAGCATCAAAGATTTAACAACAGCAGCAAAAAAATTAGCTAGTTAATATCACAGAATCACAGTCTGGTTGAGGTTGGGAGGGATCTCTAAAAGTCATTTGGTCCAATTTCCTTGCTCAAGGAAGAACACATTCCCAGACTGTCTCCAGACAGCTTTTAAATAAAGAAAGGAGACTTTACAAACTGTTTTTTTTACAAACTGTGCCAGTGTTCAGTCACCTGACAGTTTTACCTTCTATTCTTTTGGAATTTCCTGTATTTCAGTTTTCACCCATCTCTTCTCATCCTGTTGTTGGGTATCACTGGAAAGAATCTGGTCCAGATATCCACTGAGCCTTCTCCAGTCTGAACAGGCCCAGTTCTTTAAGCTTTCCCTTATATGAGTGATGTTCCCATCTCTCATTTTATTAGCCATTTGCTAGACTTGCTGCAGGAGCACCAGGTCTCTCTTAATCTGGGGAGCCCAGAAGTGGGTACAGCACTCCAGATGAGGCCTGACCAGGTGGAGTAGATGGGAAAGATCACGTCCCTTGACCAGCTGGACACGCTCCTTTTAATGCACCCCAGGGTCCCATTGGCCTTCTTGGCCACCAGCACACACTGCTGGCTCATGGCCAACCTATTATCCGCAAGGACACCCAGGGCCTTCTCTGCAGGCCAACCCCCTGCCTTTAGTGACACATGCGGTTATTCCTCCCCAGGTGCAGGACTCTACACTTACTCTTGTTGAATTTCTAGAGTCTGACATCAAAAACATTTTCTTCTCATAGTCTGTAATCTTATCAGTTAAAGTGTTCAGTCATATTCCTTCCATGACTGTGCTACAGTGATGTGCAATCAATCAGTATTCGTTTTCATTTCCAGGATAAAAATCTTGCATGATGTTATCTGTATTCTTAAGAATATTTGAAAAAGCTTCTTGTGAAGACTTCAGTTCCGCTAATTGCCTAGGGCAGCTCATTTAATAAAAAAAGACAGGGAAAAAAAATACATGATAAATTGCAGTTTAGAAAGTGTCTAAGATGTCTGGAAACATACTGTTTTTCAGTTTCGATTTAGCCTGGCATTGCTGGAGGTTGGTTGGATATATTAAAATAAATAAATACATAAATACATAAATACATAAATACATAAATACATAAATACATAAATCAGTGGGCAAAAAAATCAGCAAATTAAAATTCCACTTTCCCCTCTCAAACACTGAAATTTGAAGACCATTTCAACAGAAAATCTGCAATATTTTGTTTGTTTAACCATGGTTCTCCAGGAATCTGCTCAAGTACCCACACTTGCGTGAAATATATCTCTGTTCCTGCAAATAGTATCACGTACAGCTTGGATATACATTTGAGGTACATCAACAATAAGGAAAGATAAAAGCATTTCCCTGGATTTTGACAGGACTGCAAGGAAGAGGGACTATTTACAATTCTGCTACCACACTTCTGTCTACAGAAGGACTGTGAAATACTACAGCAGTCTCCATTTAAATACTTTGCTTCATTGCTCTGCTGTGTGGAGAAAATGCCCTGTAACTCAGAAGCTGAAATTATACTTGTAAAGGAGCTATCCTAGGAGTTTAACAGAAATGTTATAAAATAAAAAAGCTGCTGTAATGGTACAGTAATGGAGTAAAATTCCAATTGAACCTGAAGGGAAAACTTGATTGCCTAAAAATACCAGACTGTTTCAAATGCTTCATGTTGCATTTTCTCCCCCATTTATGAGGAACATATAAAGCAGTTGGACTTGAAAATACCTGCTTTGGCACTGAAGTTTTACAGCTGCTGTGGATGTGTGGTATTTTGCAAAACATAGCCCAGCAGAGACATGTAACATGAACAGGTGATTTTAGACTGAGATTTAACTAAGGATTGTGGGAGCCCTTAGTTGACTGTAGTTTAGATGCAGCAGATAAGTCATGCAGCACAAGGCATGATAATCATCCCCCAAAGTCCACTAATTACTTCTACGCACCTGAAGTTCTGTCTATTCTGATGTAAGTGAGTGGTGTACCCTTTCCAAAATCACTGCACAAATCTGTAAACTCTGATTCAATTTCTCACTTGACAACCAAGGAGCTGGCATCTTGCAAAAAAATGGCTCATAGTGCCAGAATTAAGCTTGGATTAGATGAGAGTTCACATCCTCCTTGCATTCAAATCCAAAGCAAAGCAACTTGTTAAACAGCTATTAGAAGCAACTGTTGTTAGCTCGTATTATTAATTATAATTATAGAAGTATAAATATTTACTTATTATCATAATAATGTAACATGAAGATATTGATACAATACCTGCTCAGTGGAAAGTACTGGGCCATCTTCTCCAAAGAAGATATCTGTTCCACAGTGATGAATGGCAAAACAAGGATATAGATCCTGAATATCTAAACAATTCAAGGTATGAGAAGTCCTTTCCGATCCATTTTACAGTCAGAAGCAAAGGAGAGCTGGATGGGAATAGAAACCAGTAATGTAAGAACAGGAAACAAGCTGCTCCAGACATTTCTCATGAGCTTTTCTGATTTGGTTTCAAAAAAAAGAAATAAAAAATATTTGATTGTAGGCTTGATCAAAACCAGGTGTGTTTGTGCTGCCTATGAAGAAGCTAATAGGATAGACATAAAGCAACCTTAATGAACATAATGAAATCTGGTCAAATCTAATATGACCACATATGAAATCTGTGAAGAGATTAAAGCAACATAACTTAATTCTCTTTTGTCCCAAGTTTTTGTCTAATTTGAAGGTTTATTTATTTTTCTTCAAATAGTCTTTTTTCTTCAAATTATGGCTGACCTTAAACGAATGAAGGCCCGGCTCAGTTTCTGTGTTCATTAATTATTGAAGAACAAAGCATAGGGAGAACCAAATGTATTTTAGGAAGAAAAAGTACATAACTTAAAAATCAAGATCCTTCAGTTTTTTTCCAACAAAATCATAGAAAAAAGTGAACAAATATGAAATACATATTTTTTTCATCACATACATACAATATTTTTTCTTGTCATAGCAACAGATAAGCTGTGGGCACAGCTTATCTCCTGCCCAGCTGCTTTCTCATTGGAGCACTGCTGGTGCAGCAGCAAGATCAGGAGATGAGTCACATCACAGGGAAAGAGACAACATCCAAAGTAGCATATTATTTAATATCTGACTACTGTATCTCCCCCAAAGAATGGTGTGGGAGCAACAGGACAGGATGTTCCCTAGGGCTCTTCCCACTTTCATTTACTATGCACTCAAAAGCTGAAATTAAGATGTTCAGCTAGTCATTTGCCATATGACTCAGTTGCTTGCATATAGGTGACAAGACACATTATAGCCTGTTCCCTCAACTGCCACTCCAGAGGTCCGTATCTCCTGCAAATTTGTGTCTCTTCTGCAGTCCTAGCCGGATGTCTTGAATGGACTTTCCTATGCCATAGCATTATCAGCTGTCTACCAAGACAACTGTTTTGTGAGGAAGACACAGTAGTTTAGCCTTTTCAGTCTTAAATTTTCAATACAACTGCTCAAAGATTTATGTTCAAAATGTGCCATCTAGCTTTACTTATTGATTTATTACTTTATAGTTTTCTCTGAACCTCTTAGAGAAATTTTCTTACTTCATCCAGCAAATAGTCCTACTCATGCGCTATGAAAGTGATATTCTGGCTTTTCAGGAAGGGAAGGTTCTTATTTTTTCATCTGTGTCCTAAGCAATCTGTCAAATATTCTGTCTGACATAGAATGCACTGAAAAAGGGAATAACTTACCTTAACACATCTGTCTTAGAATCACCATGTCTTCACCAATCTCTCCATCTTACAAATCTTCCTGGCTTTTAGCTTTTCCCGTTGATGCAAGTGTTGCCATTGCAGACAGACATTGCTATTAAGTTCCCTTGTCCTTCTTTTTTCTCATTTATACATTCTATTTTGCAGTTCTGTTACTTTAAAAAAAAAAAAGAAAAAGATTTGTTTAAAAAAAAAGAATTGTTGCAAAATGATTAATGAAGGGAAAAAGAGAGTTGCATTGGTCAACTGCACTAACAGTGAGAGATGAATTAGGACTGCTGTGCAAACAGCTTTGGTGCCCACATTTTAAGTAGGGGTCCTCTGCAGCCAGGCCTGGAAAGGAGTACTTGTGTTTTTTTTTCTTCTCAGTGTTTGCACTAAGATACTAGAAAGCAATTGGCTTTCCCCTCCCTTACATAAAATGTAGGCAAAAGGTAGTATATTTTCATTCAAATTTGTGCAAATCTGCTTCTAAACATTAAAACATCAATCTCTCCCTTCTTATGGCTGAGCTGACTGAACTGTCACAGACACTGCCTTGGTGGACAGCAGGCTGGAAGTTAAATGGCAGAATGACTTTGCAGCAAGGAGTACCAAGCATTCCCCAGGCTGCCTCAACAAGAAGATAGTTAGAAGACATTTTTGTAATCCTGTATTTCTAAGGGAAGAAAACGTTCATGACTATCTTATCCTTGAGTTGCGTTTTTTTGTTACCATACAAGAATTTTATTCACCTGCTAGGAATAGTTTGGACATGTGGAAAGAAATAGCTTTGAAACTTGAAACCCTGAGCTGATGTTCTATTTGAATCATACACTTTTACTTTGAGATTGAAGTAGAATATGAATATACTGTAAACTGATTTGCTATTTCAAATGACAAAACCTGAAGACCATGCATGCTTTTGGCTGACTCACTCCAGCTGCAGAGAAACAGCTTGGCAGTTGTTAATATCTCTACATCATACAAATTGATTTACAGTTGGGTTTGTGATCATATTGATCTAACCTGTTTATTTAGTGCACTAAGTTCAAGTGAAAACAATTCCAAGGACATCAGCAGCTGGCATAGATTTAGCAAGACCAAATTCTCTTCAACTTTTCCTACAGCTAATGAGCCTAAGATTCTTACTTTAAAATTTCAAATTTTTTTGGGCCTTCTTGACTCTATCTTTCTTCCTCCACTTGAGGTGACAGTAACCCCTAAGTCCTCCTCACAATGATATTCCCAATGAGTTCTTCTTCCAGTCTGCATACATAATACCTGTTCTCTCTCATGTAATTATGTTCTTTCCCTAACTAGTATAAATATTTCAGATTTTTTGTAATCATTTAAAATCTATCTTGCTGTCCACCCTTGCAATATCCAATGCCAGAGGTTAATGAAGTGCACTGTTGGGAGATACTTATTTTCTATCACTTTTAAACAAATGGCCTCTCTTTCTTGTGGAAAACATTCCAGTTCCTTACTGTCAAAGAGGACAAACAAGAGAACTGTGTAATCTGCCTTCATGTAGCCACAAATTGCCTGATTACTGATAGCCCAACCCTTGTCAATTTTTTCTAGCAGTTCTCCCTTTGACTGAAGAAGTTCCTTCAAATATGTGCAAATTAGTGTGTTGGAGATCGGCTTTGTACCAGTACGTGCTTCCATTTCCTGACAGTTCTGATGCTGTTGCCTTCATTGGTTTATTTATTTATTTATTTATTTAAAGGAAGTTCTTACAACCTTTGAAACCTACACTATTCATGTTGGTCTTGACTTTAGTATTTTTCTTCTCCTTACTGGTACTAGTGCTTCCCCTTGTATGGTTTGATGGCTTGCTTTTGTTTTACAGGATGTGCTACAGCTAGAGGGTTTCCCCACAGCTCTCTATAACTAGAGGATTGTGCCTCAACTAGAGATGATGGCTACTGAAGGAGTAGACATGTCTTCTTAGCCTCCAGTAAACATACTGCCACTTGATTTATTCTGTCTCCCTTTCACACAAAGTGAGAATGCACACAGTTCCTTTACCACAGTTTAGATGGCATACAACCTGCTGAATTGCAGCTGTACAGATTTGCATGATCCCAGACCCTCCACCAAGCCATTGTGGCTGTTCCTATCAACTAGATTTACAGATACTTGCTAGAATGACCTACCTGGATTGCAAGGAACATCATTTTTGCAGGGTCAGACTAGGCTCCTTCTGGATCATGATGATGGTCTACTGCCAGCAGGCCACAGGAACCACCACTGAAATACTGATGGCACTGTTGCTCCAACCCTTCCTGACAGCATCCAGACAGCTGGCAGAATGGAAATGGCATCACTGAAGAGCTCATTGGTACATTCTTACTTTTTAATGTATATTGCTTATGCTGAAGCTCCTCTTTTCATGCCACTGTTTTCAGCTGATGGTTGTGCACCACCAGCTTCTCCTCCATGTGGGATGGGAATGCTGAGCTCTTTCAGAACCCCCCAGAACTCAAATTGACACTTTCAGAGGGAACAGTCATTTCTTGCTGTCAGAAATGTATGTCCTGTCTTTTAGAATAAGGAGAGGCCCTAATACTTCTTCCTAAGGGCCAAAGGTTATGCAATTCTCTCAGCTTGCTGAAATGCTTAAGAGAAGGACTTAGAATATTAAGCTACTGCCAGAAACTGCTGTAGTTCTATCTTCTTCCTATACACAATGGGAAACCCAAATTGATACTTTCAAGGACTGTACAAATGATGTCCAATAAATCTCATGCTACAAGTAAATCTCTGACTTACATAGACTAACTGGAATTAAATGGAACATGAATTAAATGGAACATGAAGTTTGTGAAAAGAAAAACAATTAGTTGTAATTAATTGTGAAATGGGTTCAACAGGTCTTGTATGTCTCTGAACATAATATACAGAAATGCAGCCATTTTTCTCTGTGCAATGTAACAATACAACATCATTGAAACTGGTGTATGTCTGAAGTCCAGATACTGGAAAGTATTTAAATAAACTGTTACTTTCAGATTGGTGAGATTTAGGCACATTAAAGACACCTGGAATTCTTGGCCAAACTGTACAGTCCTGTGAGCTTTACAGCAAAATATGATCAGAACCTGACAATGCAATCTTATACTCTGATTATTGGATTTAGCTCTGGTTCCACAAAGGTGTCTTGCCTTCCAGAATTGGTGATTTTAAGAGAACTGGGATTTTATCTTTTCGTTGCTGCTAGCTTCTGAGCTAAGTAAGCAAAGAGTGTGTTACAAATTCTTTCTATCCAAGATAAACAACCTTAGGCCCTCTTGTTTATCTTATTCAAATCTTTCCACTGAGGAAAATACGTACATACAGGCACAAAGAGCCTTATGCAGACAAACAGAGAGTAGCAGAGAAAAATCATGTTGACCTCCACATACAGTTCTCCAAGAGGCAGCTATAACATTGGCAATGTCCTTCTTAATAATACTAGTGTGAAAATGTGGACCCAATTTCACTTTGGTTAGATAAATGTTTCCAGCATTCCGTTCTTTGGATAAGGTCTACATGTGCTATCAGCAATTAGATCACCATTTCCTTAAAGGTATTCAAGGCTGAGCCAAAAGTTGAAAGTAGAATTATGTGCTGTCTTAGAATACAATACAATACAATACAATACAATAAAACAATTGTAAGTTGTCCATAGTGAAGAGACTTCAGTAAAATACTGACAGTAGAGGCTGACCAGGTTCAGAACTGGACTCTGAATCAATTTCTCAAAAATGAATAGGAGTATAATGTCTTCAGTTTGTTTTTTGGAAAGACAGAATTTGTCCAGCATAGGAGAATAGTCCTTAACACAAAACATATCTGTAATTGTTTGGGTAGTTCTATTTCTGTCCCACTGTATCCTGTCCCCCTGCCACTTGAAGTTGTAGCTCCAGTATGGAGAGCTTAGAGAGATGGCAGGATTTTTCTCAAGGAATTGCAGCACCTTCAACTAAGAAGAGAATTCACTCTGAGCCTGGAGCAGCACAGTGGTGTTCACTCATGCCAAGGCATGTTTGGATAAAGCTCCTTGGGAGAAGCAGAAGGAGAGAAAATTGACATCTTCACAAGTTGTGTCCAAATGACAATCTGGTAGTCTTGCATTGGTGCTTTAACTCTTAGTTAAAATGATTGCATTAGGAATAGCATTCCTAGCAGGTCAAGGAAGTGATCCTTTCCTTCTACTGCAAAGGCTGTGGGGCTTGGCTCTCTTTCTGAGCTGAAGGTGAGAGAGCAAAGGCCCCAGTGAGTGGTACAAGGCAAGGGAATCATGGAGAAATATGGGGTTTGCTCCCTGTTTAAAGGACAAGTATTTAACTCTGCATGCTCACAGAGTCAAATTTGGGCTTGCAGTTCCATTCCAGGCAATGAAATGACCAATGTTTCAAGACACGTTTATCCTCTTCCACATCTCCATAGACTTCCTGTCTCCCCATGCATGCCCAGAAAAAAAGAAAAGAAAAGAAAAAACAAATAAACAACAACAACAGCAACAACAACAACAAAACGGTGTCAATGCCACTAACTGCAGATAGCAAAGGCTGTTTCTATCACTCTACTTACTGACTGTGCTCCATCTGGGCAGCTGGATTTCAGACACGGTTATTTCTTATTCTAAACAAAAATCAGACTCATCTCTTTCCATGAGGCGTTTGCCAAAAGTTACAAGCAATTTCACACTTGTGTTTTTATTTTCTATCTCAGATGTATGCTTTACTTATTAGATTATTTTAAGCATTGGTAACAGTAAGTCTCATGCTTCCCTGCTGAGCTGTTGCTGAAAACAAATCAAGGCATAATGTCTTTCTCTATGTTATTACTTTGGGAGAACAAGCAAATATTGATGCTGTCCTTACTAATACTGCATTTGTAATGCTTGCCAAGCTGAAGCAGTTACAGTACATTACTCGAGCTGGAAGCCACACATAGGCTTTATTTTTCTTTTAATTAGAATTTAAATATATATATATATATATATATATATCTCCTTTAATGAAAATGGAGTAACTGTTCTTTTCCAGATTAAAGACATACCCCATGAAATTATCAGAGTGTTCCAGAGTCCCCCCAGGTTTACTAACTCATTTTTGAAATAATTCTTATGTTTTCCTCTCATAAGAGTGAGGAAAACAATTACTACC